GAGTCTTGTTCTATCGCCCAGGCTGGAGTGCAGTGGCATGATCTCGGCTCACTGCAGCCTCCACCTTCTGGGTTCAAGAGATTCTCCTTCCTCAGCCTCCTGAGTAGCTGGGATTACGGGCATGGACCACCATGCCCGACTAATTTTTGCATTTTTAGTAGAGATGGGGTTTCGCCACATTGGCCAGGCTGGTCCTGAACTCCAGACCTCAGGTGATCCACCTGCCCTTGCCTTCCAAAGTGCTGGGATTACAGGCATGAGTGAGTGTGCCCGGCCCCTGTACTGTAGATGTAATGTGATAATGTGACTTCCATCTTACTGCCCAGGGCCCCTGCTCTTGCTGTCCCCTTGGCCTGGACTGTCTACCCACCGGATTCCAGGCCTGGTGGCTCCTCCTCACTTGAAGTCACCTCCTCCAAGAGGTTCCCTGCCCACTGCTGCCTTCCTGCCCTCTGATCCTTTCCTTGGGTATGCGCTGAGAGCCTGGAAAAGAACACTATGCATTTCCTCCTTTATCTAACTCCCCCATTCAAATGTCAGCTCCTCTAAGGCAGGGTTCTATCTCTTTCATCACTGCATGTCCCTAGCACAGGGCTTGGCACACAGTAAATACTTATTAAGTGCTTGTTGAATGAATGAATGGACAAATGAATGAATGGAAACTCTACTGGGGAAGCTCAGGGATGGAGCCTGGCTCCTAACTCAGATGGTGAAGGTGCCCTGGAGGAGGTCACTGGGAAATTGAAGCCTAAGGAAGCTTAGGCAGGCAGGTGAAGAAACCAGGGAGAGGGTTTTGTTTCAAAACACCTTCCTCTGTGGGAGGAAGAGGTGAACTATCTCTAACTTTGCTCAGAGGTATAAACTGGTGATTAAAAATAAAAAACAGCCAGGTGCGGTGGCTCACGCCTATAATCCCAGCACTTTGGGAGGCCAAGGCGGGTGGATCACGAGGTCAAGAGATCGAGACCATCCGGGTCAACAAGGTGAAACTCCATCTCTACTAAAAATACAAAAATTAGCTGGGCAGGGTGTTGTGCGCCTGTAGTCCCAACTACTCGGGAGGCTGAGGCAGGAGAATTGCTTGAACCCAGAAGGCGGAGGTTACGGTGAGTCAAGATCATGCCATTGCACGCCAGTCTGGGTAACAAGAGCGAAACTCGCCTCAAAAATAAATAAATAAAATAAAAATAAAAATAAAAAACACTGGGAGTGGTGGCTCACGCCTGTAATCCCAGCACTTTGAGAGGCCAAGACGGGAGGATTGCTCGAGGCCAAGGGTTCGAGACCAGCGTGGGCATTATAATGAGACCCTGGCTCTACAAAAACAAATGAAGCCTTTAATTGTTACCATAAAAATCAAGACGGGCGCGGTGGCTCAAGCCTGTAATCCCAGCACTTTGGGAGGCCGAGGTGGGTGGATCACAAGGTCAAGAGATTGAGACCATCCTGGTCAACATGGTGAAACCCCGTCTCTACTAAAAATACAAAAAATTAGCTGGGCATGGTGGCGCACGCCTGTAGTCCCAGCTACTCAGGAGGCTGAGGCAGGAGAATTGCCTGAACCCAGGAAGCAGAGGTTGCGGTGAGCCGAGATCACGCCATTGCACTCCAGCCTGGGTAACAAGAGCGAAACTCCATTTCAAAAAAAAAAAATCAAGACATTTTACTACATCCTGATGTTCCTGTCTCTCTGGAAGACTTGGAAGATTTGGCCACGTGGGCCAGCATTCTCGAGGCAATGTGGTCGGTCCTGTGTTCACGACAGCCTCCATTGGGTCCTTGAGGGAGGTGAGCTTCAAAGCCGTGCACTCACAGCCTGGCCCTCACTACCCACACCTGCTACGTGACCTTGGACAACCCTTTCTGAGCCTCAGCTGGTTTTTTTGGCAAAAAATGGTTTGGAGGCCACGCATGTGGCTTACACCTGTAATCCCAGGACTTTAGGAGGCCAAAGCATGAGCATCACTTGAGCCCAGGAGTTTGAGACTGGCCTGGGCAACACAGTGAGACCCCATCGCTACTAAAAAAAAAATTTTTTTAATTGGCCAGTGGCCGGCGCTTGTAGTCCCAGCTACTCAGGAGCCTGGGGCAGGAGGATCCGCTTGAGGATGAAGGAGGTCATGGCTGCAGGGATCCTGGATCATGGCACTGCACCCCCTGCCTGGGTGACAGAGTGAGACCCTGTCTCTAAATGAATAAATAATTAGTTGGGCGTGGTGGCACCCACTTGTAGTCCGGGCTACCCGGGAGGCTGAGGCTGGAGGATCGCTTCCCAGGAATTGGAGGCTGCAGTGACCTGTGATCATATCACTGCACTCCAGGCTGGACGGGAGACCCTGTCTCAAAAAAAAAAAAAAGAAAGAAAAAGGGTTGGAAGCACAGGTACTGGGAAAAAAAGCTTGCGCACTCCCCTCTGGGGGTCTCCCGCAGTTTGCTGCTGTGCCAAATGCACACACTCAGATGCCTGGATCCCTGCCCGTCCAGCTGGGAGGTGACGCGTGGCCCCTGCGAGCCGGCTCGTTGATTCCCTAGCGCGCGAGCGCCCTCTGCTGGCCGAGGGCGGGCGCGCAGACCCGAGCCGGAACCGGGAAGCCGGGCGCCAGGAGAGTCTAGAGTTTCACGCTTCTGGTCGGTGAGATGGGGGCGAACAATAGCGAATACATAAGCAGAATATACCGGAAGGAAAGGAAAGAACAACAGCGAACTAACATTTACGAAGGCGGTGCTCTGTGCCGAGGACTGCGAGAAGCCCACGCCATGTAAAACCACACGTAATCCTTAGAATAACCCGGCAACGTGGCTACGGAAACGCACAGAGAGGTTAAGGAGCCTGCCTGGGTCACACAGCTGGTAGTGGAAAAGCCTGACTCCCGGGCCTGCACTGGTACCCACCGAGGCGGAGAGAAGATGCGAAGGTTTCAGCTGCGCTCACTCACTCATGCATGTCCTTCCAGCTATTCACCCATTCACAAGTATTCACTGAGCACCTACTGTAGGCCAGACATTGTGTGAGATGGCCTACAAGAGAGCCGCGCCCCTGCCCTCTTGAAGCTGACATTTTAGTGGGGTGGGGAGGGGGCAGGTAATAAACATAAATATATCATTAACAGTTGGGCCAGAGGCCAAAGGATAAACCTGTATGCACTCCCGGTGTTACTCAGGCAGCCACCCCAGCAGGATTTTTTTTGCTGTATCTGAGCCTTACCTGCACTATTACTTACTTGACATTTGCTCCTAGACAACTGGTTTTTACGTAAGTGTATCTTTATTTATTTATTTATTATTTATTGAGACAGAGTCTAGCTCTGTTGCCCAGCCTGGAGTGTAGTGGTGCAATCATGACTCACTGCAACCTCCACCTCTTGGGCTCAAGCAATCCTCCCACCTCAGCCTCCCCAGTAGCTGGCACTACAGGCACGCAACACTATCATCAGCTAATCTTTGTATTTTTCATAGAGATGGGTTTTGTCATGTTGCCCAGGCCGGTCTCAAACTCCTGGACTCAAGTGATCTGCCCGTGCTGGCTTCCCAGAGTGCTGGGATTAGAGGCGTGAACCACTGTGTCAGGCCGAAGTGTTAGGTTTCTGGTTTTTGAGATGCAGTCTCACTCTGTTGCCTGGGCTGGAATGCAGTGGCACAGTCTCGGCTCATTGCAACCTCTACCTCCTAGGTTCAAGTGATTCTTCTGCCTCAGCCTCCTGGGTAGCTGGGATTACAGGCACGCACCACCATGCCAGGCCAATTTTCATGTTTTTAGTAGAGACAAGTTTTCACCATGTTGGCCAGGCTTGGTCTCAAACTCCTGACCTCAGGTGATCAGCCCGCCTGGGCCTCCCAAAGTGCTGGGATTACAGGTGTGAACCATCATGCCTGGCTGCCAAAGTGTATTTTTAAAAGGGAATCTCGGTATGGTGAAACTCTCTCTCTACTAAAAATGAAAATATTAGCTGGGCCTGATGGTGAGAACCTATAGTCCCAAGTACTCAGGAGGCTGAGGTGGGAGAATCACTTGAACCTGGGAGGTAGAGGCTGCAGTGAGCCGAGATTGTGCCATTGCACTCCAGTCTGGGCCACAGAGCAAAACTCCATCTCAAAAAAAAAAAAAAAGGGAAAGCTCACATCACCACACCTAGCCAACCAGCATCAGCTGTCGCCTATCAGACAGCATCCCAGACTGAGGTTGAGGTATTGACATCACTGTTATATTAATGTCCTTGGCATGCCACCTCAGTTCCTCTGGGGCCTGGCAGAGGCACTGGAATCTGCCCCTGGGAACCCCAAGATGAAGCCAGCCTCAGGGCCAGGCCTCGGGAACAGAGGTACCATCAGCTTCTGAAGAAGGTGGGTAGCCTCTCCAGGCTCCTCCCGGTCACTGTGACCCCTGCCTTTTCTGGATTCTGCTGGCGACCCTGCAGAACCTGAGGTGCCGGCCTTCTGGGCAATCAGAAAGCAGTGGCTCCATCTGAGCTCCCTACCCACTGTGGACAGCACTGCATCATGGAACCCCGTCTGCTCCGTGTCATGGCCAGCAGTGGGTCTAAGAGCGACTTGCTCAGACCTGATTCTCAAAATTCCTGCCCAGAAAAGGCCAGGCTTCTGAGCCAGGCCATCTGTTGTCCCCTCGACCCAGCCACCCAGCTTCTCTGCATGCAGGGTGGAGGGAGCAGGCGGCCCCATGGGGGCCTCTTGTCACCACCAATGGCCTGAGAGGCCCATGTGACCCACCCAGAGAGGAAGGCCAGACCCAGCCCTGGGGAGTTAATCATTCAGTAAACACAGTCTGACTTTGTGCTAGACAGTGTTTTTTGTTGTTGTTTTTGAGACAAGATTTCACTGTGTCACCCAGGCTGGAGTGCAATGGCGCGATCTCGGCTCTCTGCAACCTCCACCTCCTGTGTTCAAGCAATTCTCCTGCCTGAGCCTCTTGAGTAGCTGGGATTACAGGCACCTGTCACCATGCCCAGCTAATTTTTTGTATTATTCTTTTTACTTTTTCTTTTTTAAATATGGAACGCTTCATGAATTCACATGTCATCCTTGCAGAGGGGCTGTGCTAGTCTTCTCCGTATCGTTCCAATTTAGTATATATGCTGCCTCAGCGAGCACATTTTTTTGTATTTTTAGTAGAGATGGGGTTTCACCATATTGGCCAGGCTGGTGCTGAACTCCTGACCTCAGGTGATCCACCTGCCTCATCCTCCCAAAGTGCTGGGATTACAGGCATCAGCACAGTCTATAATTATTATTTTTTGAGATGGTGTCTCACTCTGTCACCCAGGCTGGAGTGCAATGGCATGATCTTGGCTCACTGCAACCTCCGCCTTTCATGTTCAAATGATTCTCCTGCCTCAGCCTCCTGAGTAGCTGAGATTACAGGCGTGCACTACCACGCCTGGCTAATTTTTGTATTTTTGGTAAAGACTGGGTTTCACCATGTTGGCCAGGCTGGTCTCAAATTCCTGACCTCAAGTGATCTGCCTGCCCCAGCCTCCCAAAGTGCTGGGATAACAGGCATGATGAGCCACTGTGCCTGCCTTAGATGCTGTTTTTAACACTGGGTTCATGGCAGTGAAGAAGCCAGATGAGGTGCCCACCCGCAAGAGGGACAAAGGTATAACTACTGCAGGCTGGGCGCGGTGGCTCACGCCTGTCATCCTAGCACTTTGGGAGGCCGAGGTGGGTGGATGACCTGAGATCAGGAGTTCAAGACAGCCTGGCCAACATAGGGAAACCCCATCTCTACTAAAAATACAAAAATTAGCCGGGTGAGGTGGTGTGTGCCTGTAGTCCCAGCTACTCAGGAGGCTGAGGCGGGAGAATTGCTTGATCCCAGAAGGTGGAGGTTGCAGTGAGCCGAGACCACGTCATTGCACTCCAGCCTGGGTGACAGAGTGAGACTGTTTCAGGAAAAGAAAAAAAGGAATAACTACCACAATGAATGAGATGGTTAAAAGAGGACTGGGGGTGGCCACTTGACACTGGACTGGGAGGACCTCTCTCAGGAGGAGACACAGGAGTGGTCACGGAGGGGCTGGGATGCAGCCGTGGAGGGCCAAGAGGAGCAGGAAGAGCATTATGGGAAGGGAGAACTGCAAGTGCAAAGGCAGGGGTGGGGTGAGGCTCCAGAATCCCTCCCACTGTGTGGCCGAGAGCCCAGAGCCCTGACAGTGACTGGGGGTTTGAAGGCAGCCGTAGTCTGAGACCTGGCTTTGGAAGCAGGAGTTTTCTTTCTCTTTTTCTTTTTTTGAGATGGAATTTCACTCTTGTTGCCCAAGCTGGAGTGCAATGGCACGATCTTGTCTCACTGCAACCTCCCGGTTTCAAGCAATTCTCCTGCCTCAGCCTCCCAAGTAGCTGGGACTATAGTTGCCTGCCACCACGCCCAGCTAACTATTGTGTTTTTAGTAGAGTTGGGGTTTCACCATGTTGGCCAGGCTGGTCTTGAACTCCTGACCTCAGTGATACACCCACCTCAGCCTCCCCCAAAGTGCTGGGATGACAGGCGGGAGCCACCGCGCCTGCCCTGGAAGCACTTTTCTGTGGTGTCAGCCTAGAGCACCCACTTGCTGGTGTGAGGCCTGTGCTTTCAAATCACCGCCCTGGGCTGAAGATAGCAGAAACATGCGCCAAGCAGTGAAGACACGCCCTGGTCATGGGCAAGCTGTGGCCACCATGCCAGCCTGCCAGGCTTCCTTTTCAACGTCTCTTCATCCACGAGACTCTGATGGGCAGAGACCACTTTCCTGCCTTTCGAGGGAGGAACTGAAAATGTTCCCAACTGACCACAAGGGAAGCTTCGAAGCTGACTGCACAAACCCACCCACCCGCCTGTTCCATCGGTCACTCGGCAGCCTGTGAAGGTGGCCACCAGTGGGCCAGCTCCGCCAAGCCACGCCAGTCATGTATTTCTGCTCTCAATGACAGTCTTAGACGGTGAGAACTCCTTACATAAGGCAGCCTCACAGGTGAGTGAGAAAAAGTTACAAAGGCCAAATGTGGTCGCTCACGCCTGTAATCCCAGCACTTTGGGTGGCTGAGGCAGGAGGATCACTTGAGTCTAGGAGTTCAAGACCAGCCTGGGCAATATAGTGAGACCCCCATCTTTTTTCTTTTTGTAGCTCTGAGGCATTTTATTATAAAAATTTAGTACTCATATACATAAACTAATATGAACTTAAAATTCATCATACCTTTACTTCATTTTTTAACTTGACCTTCTAGTAAATCTTTAGCTTCATGGATTTGGGCTGCTATATAAGGAGATCCTCCTTTGTCAGGATGAGTTAAAAGCATAATTTGTTGATGAGAATCTCTTATTTTCCCTTTATTGGCAGTTGGGCTTTTACCTAGTATTAATGCTGCTTCCCGTTTTGTCATTTTGGGTTCAAACCCACTTCTGCAATAGCCACCACTGAAGGCCTGCAAATCCTGCGGCTGCAAAGGTCAGTCCGACTGCTACCACCGTGCTGGCCACCGCTACGCTGGGCTCCCTTGCTGTCACCGGGAGCACGGCTCATCCCAGCGCAGAGGTCGAGGCTGACACCTGCACGGCTGACTGGAGAGCGTCGCACCTGCGACCGCTCGCACGAACCGCCGAGCTGAGCCCACCATCTTTACAAAAAAAAAAAAAAACTGAATGCTTCTTGGCCTTTGGCTAAGATCAAGTATAAAAAATAAAAAAATTAGCTGGGTGTGATGGCGCATTCTTGTAATCCCAGCTACTTAGGAAGCTGAGGTGGGAGGATCACTTGAGCCAGGAAGGTCAAGGCCACAATGAGCCGTGATCGTGCACTCAGCCTAAGCGACAGAGTAAAAACCTCGTCTCAAATTAAAAAAGAAAAATAACAAAGATGAGCGAAGAACAGAGTTGGCTTTTTGCCACAAGGAAGGACACGCAGCCTTGTCCGTGTGAAAATCATGCAGTACGACGTTCAGCGCAAAGAGGGGCAGGCGTGAACATGTGCGAGAAAGGGAGGGGAGCAGGCGTGTCTGCAGCATTGGTGGGAGAGTATGGCCACCCTTCTTTGCTGGGAACTTGAAAATGTCAAAATTTAAAATGTTGGCTGGGCGCGGTGGCCGCGGTGGCTCACACCTGTAATCCTAGCACTTTGGGAGGCTGAGATAGGCAGATCACGAGGTCAGAAGTTCAAGACCAGCCCGGCCAACATGGTGAAACCCTGTCTCTACTAAAAATACAAAAATTAGCTGGATGTGGTGGTGGGCGCCTGTAATCCCAGCTACCCAGGAGGCTGAGGCAGGAGAATCGCTTGAACCCAGGAGGTGGAGGTTGGGGTGAGCCAGGATCATGCCATTGCATTCCAGCCTGGGTGACAGAGTTAGACTCTGTCTCAAAAAAATAAAATAAAATAATAAAATAAAACGTCTATATCCTTGGATGGAGAAATCTGCTCCTAGAACTGTGTTCTACAGAGGTATGCACACGCACACACGCCCTGAGGCCAGCAGGCAGCAGAGCATCGGAGACCACCTCAGGCCCAGCAGCACAGGCCTAGCCACCACGGTGGGGGCCCTTCATGTCCTGAGTGTGCTGCAGCTGTGCAAAACTACGGGGCAGATCCCGGAGGCTGCTCTGCAGGGCTTTGGGAAGAATATCCCGGGGAGGAGCGAAGTGGAGACCACATTCTCATTTGCGTAAAAAAGTGGGGGAAGGTGCACGAGGGGAGGGGAAAGAATGCGGAGCAGCACTGGCCGCACCTGTGTGCACTCGAATGCCGCCTGTGCCTTCTCAGAGGCTCACACACTGGGGCTTGCATTGGGAGAATGGGGTCAGAGGTAAGACTTTACTCTGCACTCTATTCCCTTTCTCTTCCTTCCTTCCTTTTCTTTCTTTCTTTCTTTCTTTCTTTCTTTCTTTCTTTCTTTCTTTCTTTCTTTCTTTCTTTCTTTCTTTCTCTTTCTTTCTTTCTTTTGTGTGTGTGTGTGTGACAGAGTCTTACTTTTGTTGCCCAGGCTGGAGTGCAGTGGTGTGATCTCAGTTCACTGTAGTCTCCACCTCTTGGGTTCAAGCAATTGTCCTGTCTTGGCCTCCCTCGTAGCTAAGATTACAGGTACGAACCACCACACCCAGCTAATTTTTATAGTTTTAGTAGAGATGGCGTTTCTCCATGTTGGCCAGGGTGGTCTCAAACTCCTGACCTCAGGTGATCAGGCTGGAATGCAATGGCTTGATCTTGGCTCATTGCAACCTCCTCCCAGGTATAAGCAAATCTCCTGTCTCAGCCTCCCAGGTAGCTTGGATTACAGGCATGCACCACCATGCCCACCTAATTTTTTTTGTATTTAGTAGAGATGGGGTTTCACCACATTAGTCAGGTTGGTCACGAACCTCGGCCTCCTGAAGTGCTGGGATTACAGGTGTGAGCCACCATGCCCGGCCACTCTATTTCCTTTCTGTTGTTTGAAATCCTTTCTAGGATCATGTATTCGCTATTTAATACAAATAAAAGTGGGCTCTTCAGCTTGGAATTTCCCCTGCAAGTGTAAGGGGCAGATTCATTTCTTAGCAGGGTTTTAACATGGTCTCCAGCCTCCTCCGGCATTATGGCTCATTGCCTGTCACAACTGACAAACCTGCCCTGCCTTCCACTGACTCTAAAATGGACATCTTCACATTTCTGGAATTGGAACATTTCTTACAGTTATAGTGTCTTACATTTATAATTGGCAGCATTTTTCCGTTTTTTTTTTTTTTTTTTTTTTTATGGAGCCTTGCTCTGTAGTTCAGGCTGGAGTGCAGCAGCATAATCTCGGCTCACTGCAACCTCCGCTTCCTGGGTTCAAATTGCTCTCCTGCCTCAGCCTCCTGAGTAGCTAGGATTATAGGTGTCCACGAACACACTTGGCTAATCTTTGTATTTTTAGTAAAGACGGGATTTCACCATGTTGGCCAGACTGGTCTCAAACTCCTGACCTCAAGTGATCCACCCGCCTCGGCTTCCCAAAGTGCTGGGATTACAGAGTGAGCCACTGTGCCAAGCATTTTTTTTCTTGATGGTACATAAACCAATACTGCATCTTGCAGCAGGTTCGGAACCCCAACGTTACCTGTGGGTCTGGTTCCCATGGGTCCCATAAACACAGATGCT